TGTTACATGATAAATGAAGACATATCAATGAGGCATATCGGATGATGAGGTACTATATATTACGTATTAATGATCAACGTTACTCGTACGCGATAATAATGACAAATGAAAACGAAAGACGTGGGGCCGTCAGAAGAAAAAGAAAAAGAAAACATTTGGGCCTTGACAAGGGAGGGCAACAAAGATAAATGAAATAAGGAATCAGTATTGCTGTATGTAGTGAACATGGTCACTCGTGCTTAATTGATAAATGGTTATCTCAAACTCACAGCAGTGACTGGGTATATATAAAAAGTAACTTTTCTTTTCTTCTTTCTTTCGATTATTCTCATGCCAATTTACAGACACAGGGAGTAACGGATTTAGATACTCCACCTACACACCCAATCTTTCGTTCTGACCAAAAAAAGAAAACCCAATTAAACAGCAATCCACTTCAATCTGCCTTACATATGCCTAAGTCAAGAAATGGGGACTGGACTATCAAAATAGCGGTAAATGCATGATGGGGGGATCTTTTTCGACAGTGATAATCCCTCTCAAGATAGACCCCCCGAATTTGCTATCTACCAATGAGATGATATATCGTTTATTCATCTGGTATGACAACAAATGATCTGCACAAATTTGGGGTTCGAATTTCCCTATTATCTGTTGTTATGTAAAGAAGACTGCTGAGAAAATGCTAACCGCAATTTTGATAATTAGTCCCCAAATGTTAATTATAATATAAAGTTAGTTTGGGTTGAGTTGGCAACTTGGAAGTCGTGTACTATTATTAGCAGTCTTAGAAATATTTAATCGTTAGATTTATTTAGGGTAAACTGGTAGTTAGCACACGTAGCAAATTCGGCACTTCGAAAAGATATATAAGAAGCACGACGTTCCGATAGAATTAATTTTCTTAGTGTTATGTTACGTTCCTAATATGTTCCTATTATTTTCTTGTAATAAACGAGTAATTTGTTATTAAGGATTCGTTCTCTGGCAATCACTAGTTGGAAAGCGTTAATCCCTATATCGTTAGGAGTATTTGCCTCTTGTCGCGCTTATACTCCCGTGGCACTACGGTAAATACCGCTGTTTAGCAACGCCGTTGAGTTATACAAAGACCCCGGACAGCAGATCGCTAGAATTAATCCCGCCAGCCCCATAGTCGAAAGTTATCATATCGATCAGCGACGTATTAATCAAGTATTAGCGTCTGTAAGACGAGGAGGTAAAGCCTTCCGGTAAAGGTCACTAACTGTATTATATTTAACCGAGCGAGTAGGAATAGCCACACCTCCGTGGCAGTTAAATCCCAAGTGCCAATAGTTATCCGCTCTCGTCAGCATGACATAACAAATAAATTGTTAATAAATTTATTATGCTTATAAACTAATAAAATTTCTGTCAATATAAAGTGCTCATAATTGATGAGCTGTGAATGACACTTACTCGTTTAATATAATTGGTATTCCTCTGTTGTAACGAGACCCTTGATAAACCCTTTCCTAGTAAATTTCTCATTTCCTTGATTGGAATATACTTGCACGTTGCTCTAATTTACTCAAAAAGTGCAGTAAATTTTCAACGTTTCAATTTCTTTTACGTGGTAAATTTGTTTTCTATAAGACCTGGATTAGAATCATGCCTCCGTGCTTGTAAGTTAATACCAAGTAGTCAACGCTCATCAACGTTATAACTCTCTTTCTTAATAATTTTAAAAATAATATTCTCATTCTCCAAAGTATTCTCCATTAACATCCATGCAATGTTGCAGACGATTCTGCCAACTCTGGAGAGACTTCTCATAGTCGGCTTTTGGGATGGGTTCAGCAACTGCCTGAACAGCCCTTGCCAAATTTTCGACTTTATCAAATCTTTTTTTCTTCAGTTCTTTTTTGATTTGAGGGAATAAGAAAAAATTACAAGGAGCACGGTCTGGATTATATAGTAAATGGGAGGAAAGTACCATTTGTTCGTTATGAAGATACTCCGTTATGATCGCTGCCTTATGTGTTGCGGCATTGTCGTGATAAATCATGACGTCACGAACAGTTGTTCTTTTTTCTGGAGGCTCAGTTTATGTAGGAAATTTTTTCACGAGAAATGCCGATTTTGTTGGCTAATTTTTAATAGAAATGTGCGGGTTATTGCTAACAAAATCCTCGACCTTGACAATTTTTCTGATGTCACTGCTTCGCGAGGACGTCCAGAACGAGCCTTGTCTTTAACTTCTTCTTGAATGTAGCAATCCAGCGTCTAATTGTGCTGATAGACAATGCTTGTTTCCCTTTTACATTCACCAACTCTTCGTGGATTTGAGTCGCATTTCTGCCATTTTTTCAAGCGAAAATAAGTATCGTTAGTTCTTATGGCTCATTTTTTTTTTCATTTGTTACATGAAAGCATGCGCATTTTATGATTGTTCCAATTTTTAGACGCAATCTCGAGTTAGAGGGCCACACGCAAAACTTTTCACCCCCCCCACGTATTGACAATAATCGTAATTTAGTAGTAAATAGTTTTATCGTTGACTAATTGACTTATTCGCTAATAACCGAGATTGTTGAATGCATTTGTTCGGGCCGTCCAAAATGTCTGTATTGAAGCGTGACAATGTCTTGTTGTTTGATTCTGATACGGTAATTTTTTATAAACAGCATTAATTAATATAGTAATAACAGAAACTAGACTTTTATTGTAAAGTCAATATAAAATTAGACTTTAACTTCTAGCCCTGTATGTATTAGAACCAAGATGCAAAAAGCCTGGTTTGTATTACCTCAGTTACTCGATGCATTTGGTTGTTCTTTTTCTTTAACAGCGTGAACTCTGATTAATCTGAAACCGCTTGACGCCTAAACCTACAAGGTTTTATCTTACAATTAATTGTTCTAATCCCGCGATTGATTCGTCATCACCCTTAACTTGGCAAAATAACTACGTTTACCTGCGTTTAATATTAAGCTGCTTGGATAACATCGACGTTCTCGGCCTTTCTTCAGTCTTTTTGGTTTAGGTATAAGGAAGGTAGAAACTGTCAACAAAATACATGGTACTTGTAACCTGTTATAACCGTCTGTGCGGACATCTCGCTCCTTGCTATAATTGATGCTAAGGGTATATCCGTGAGACGTGAACTTTATGAGATCGCTTCATGTAATCAATACTTTGAGATTCTTAGAGAGCGAAAAGAAACATTGGGTCAAGCTTTTTCCTCGACAGACAATTCTAGATAGATTGTTCGAAAAGCAAGGTCAGTAATCAATAAAGTCAACAGTTTGAGACAATGAAAAGATGTACAAGCGCAAATAAATGATTGCATGGCCTTGATCGAAGTTATTATTCAATCAAGCAAAGTATATTTTTGCTATTTCATATCTAGCTGTAAGGTATGGATATGCCTTTATAACCAAACTGTGCAAACCTGCCATACTTACTTACTCTTTATTTCGGACGGTTGTGGAGTAGTAGATTATAAAGGCCATTATTTTATTTAAATTTACACATACTCGTTTTTTGCAATAATTATGGGGGCTTGCATCCAATGTTACTAATAGGGTATGTCAAACGTTATTTAGGGGTGACTGCTTATCATTAATTTAGGAATTTTTAATGGTGAGAAAGACAAAGGCGCGGGGGGTGGGGGTGTGGGAGAGGGGACCCGCGACAACTTTATTGCTATTACTAAAAGAGCGTTCGTTATCTGTAAAACTTTGTGCCGCTTACATGACGCATCATATGAGTAGCACAAACGCTTAGGTTTGTGAATTACGAAAAAAACCTGTTTAAGTTGGGATTGTTATCTTCTTGGCAGATCTGATGAGAACCCCAAAAGTGCGTGTAACAATGTATATCACGCAATGCAGACATTTATGCATTGCATGAGATCTGGGGACAGTTTAATATTAGTGTGAGACTTGGACATGAGACCAATAAACAGTTCATATGCATGCATGCATAGTGCTATCAAGTTACATTGTGTGTGGCTGAGTTAATTAACATGGATAGGTAACAATAATAACAATAACGATTACAACGATGGTAATGACAATGAACGATGGTTTCTATTGCGTACACACACTATCACGAGCGACATCATCTTGTCTACCAGCAGACGGCGCGCGCATGCTATAGAGATAAACAGCTATATACGAAGTTTTCTGTAACTGTATCAATAACAATATGCACTAAACCGGTTTCTGCGCTGCGTTTATTTTAAGCTTTTTCTTAGAATGCTGGATTTTTTTCCTACTTTTGGTAATCAGGGGACATGACACACAGAGGAACTGCCACCAATAACGTCTATCAGGAGTGTATGATATCATATGTACATATTACGTGATAATATTCCCGGTCATGGAAAGTTCCATGCATAACGAGGACAATAGGAATAGCGAATTGACATGGGCTATGCAAACACACTAGTTCATGTTTTGGGCCCTTGTATGGCTAAATTAGGTGGGGCGAAATGAGGGATTCCGCTGATAAGAAATTACTAGCCAATGAGCAACTTGTCCATCAATTAATTATGACCGAGGGCGTTCAAACTATAGCGATCGGTCACATTATTGTTTATTGTGGGTGGGAATATCCATAACACTATGTTGACAATGAGATTTCGAAATTAGAAATGATTAGTAGCAGAGAACTTTATGTATTTTTAGCAATATCAGTATTGTCGATAATTAGTCGACTTTTAATTCAAGCAAAAACCAATGATTATATTATCGATAAGCATAGATATACTTCTCCTATGCCAAAGTTAAATCTATATCAATCACAGCGAACGATTATGTATAAAGTAAATTTATATAATCTAGTACGTGTACATGTACGTGTGGCATTAGCAACGTCCCCTTTGTTCAAGGGATCCTTTTCTCTCTTATACATAAGAGTATAGAGCTATCTTAATCAATCTTTATTTGAGTAAAAACTGCAGATTAAATTTGGTGAAAAGGAAATAACATTCCTCTATAGTTATACATTATATATATTTAATAAAATGACGCTTATTTACGCTTCTCTTTCTTCCCCTGAACAACAAGCACACTAGCTTGGATACCACCACTAAGCATGGAAGCTGCCATCTCTCCAAGACTTTTACGTATATCATTACCACCAATTCCCAAGTGCCTAATCATTTCCATCCACTCGTCTCGATGACTATATGAGACATTGCGCTGGCCGCGTCCAACGATAACCAAATCTTTTCTTCCAACCAAATTTTTAGCATGCTGTACCGCCGTTTGCATAGGAGTAGACGCCTTCAATTCGCTATACTTGACGCGTGGGTTATTCGTAAGTGAACCGCGAGGTCCAAAATACTTGTTAACATGCAATTCGTCGGCAGCATTGGATTCTATTCGGTCAACAGTGGAATAATTAATCACAGCGATCGAATTAGATGACATTGGATTGATCGTTGCGGAAATTGGAGGTCTATGGGGTGTGTTTATTTCGTCTTTCTTAACTGCCGGAGGTACAGGTTCCAATTGCGAGTCGTATTCAGTTGGCTCGTCTGATTTGATTATTCTTAAAACAGTCGCCTCGACATATGGACTCTCTACGAATCGAGCAACCAACGACAACGCTTCACGGTCATCAGCGCCAGCGACGAATGGTACAAACATGGAAATCTTGATTTCTATTTTTCCCGTCACTGGAATTCCTCCTGGAACCATTCCTAGGCCACGGTCGATGAAAGCTGTTACGGATATGTTCTCGGTTGCATTGAATACTTCTTGAACATATTGAGCTACTTGCGGGTTAGTATCGGAATATTCTCGAGGGTGGTAAAAGTCTTCAGGGTTATCATAAGCGATCGATCCAGTCCCAGTCCAGGGTATTATTATAAGTTCAGCTGACGATTGCTCGGCAGTCTGTAACACTTGTTCAGCGAATTTGTTAACTGCCCTGATAGATAGGGTGGATTCGACATTGAAGATGTTTTGTTCTCCAAATATACGGAATACATTCATAATAGGGTCATGGTGAGCGATTTCAGCGGATTCGTGAGATTTCATGACTGAGGACATACGCTGCCCTAGTTCCATAAGACGGAGAGCATGCACGGTTATCGCTTCCTGATCGCCAGTGTGTTTAACCGCAATTTTCTCGTCGCTAGATACAGAAGCAGAGTCGCGTGTTGAAACATCAGATTGGGTTGGTTGGAGGAGTCGGAGTAAAGACATCATAGGTGATATATATTCCACTTTGTTTAATACAACAAGGATGTTGTTCTTGCTCTTAGTGCTTGGTATATATGTACCGCCGCTTTCCTCATCATCCTTGGCCAATAATTTTTTCCCAAAGTATGGTATTTGTGACTTGTACAGTTTAAGGTCATCCGGTCCTATAAGGATTGCCAGAGGAGCCGTTATGCAAGTAGTGACAATGGCCCTGTTTAATAAAGTGAAATTAATATATCAGTAAATCTTATGTACGTTTTTAACACGCAGAGAACGTAACCTTATATACTTACATCACCACTAGAATGGCAAAGACCTTGGGATCGATAACTTTGGCATTCAACCCGATATTGAGAACGATCAATTCGACAAGTCTATTGGTAGAGAGACATTGCGTGTTAGAATAGCTATAAACAAATGACTAATCAAAAATAATCCTTATTTATGCCTATCTGCTTACCCTTTGCAACTCATGAATACACCGACGGTTAATGCCTCTCTCCATGGGATACCATACGCTCTAGCTACTAAAGTGCATCCGGATACCTTGCCAAACATGGCTACAAATATGACCAAGAAGACATAACCCCATGCAGCGCCATCGTTTAATAAACCAATTTGAGTCTTGAGACCGGAGATTGCAAAGAACTAATTGGTCCATAAGAAATTAATTAGCACGCGGGAATGAATTACATTGACTTTAAATATAACGGTATCAATAATACTTACGACTGGCAGGAAAAGAATACTAATCAAATCTTCAATTTTTTCAGTGATTCCAAGAGCAAATCCGTCAGAGTGGGGGATAATAACTCCAACCATAAAAGCGCCAAAGATGGCGTGGACACCAATAATATCAGTAACGAACGCCGATATCAATACCAAGAGAAGAGTAAAAGCCATCATTGGGACTGTTGGACCGTTTGTATGGCTGTTGGTTTTAATAATAAGCTTCAATAGCAATGGCCTCACGAGATAGATCAAAATAAGACCCCATGCGATAGCAAGAAGAAAGACGTAGAGAGCAGTTAGAGAACTTGAGGCGTTGACGATTGTTACGACAAGGGCCAAGAGAACCCAAGCGGTGATATCGTCACCGACGGCAGAGCAAAGAGCAGTTGAGCCGATTCGTGTTTGGGTAAGTTTGAGTTCAGTGATAATACGGGCAAGTACAGGAAACGCCTAAAAAAGAAAGGGAAAAACAATGAATTCCATACATGATACACGGTAAATGTGATTTGGCATATTTAAAATCCTGTATTATTTTACTCACCGTGATTGAAATAGCAACTCCCATAAATAACAGAAAGGTACCGAATGCAATGGGCACACCAGGATGATTAATTTGATACAAGCCGTAACTGACGGCAACACCCAGACCGAAGGGCAAAGCCATGCCAACGGCCGAAATGCTGATGGATAGTTTTGCCTGCTTCAATACCATTCTGGGGTCCAATTCGACGCCAACCAAGAACAAATACAGAACCAAACCAATATTGGCAATTAAAGTTAGTTGGGGGATAGATTCCGGGGGGAATATTGCGTCCGTGTATCCGGGAATATGTCCAAGGACAGATGGGCCAAGTATGATACCACCAAGGACTTCAGAAATCACACGCGGCTGTAGCAGTTTTGACAATACTAGATCAAGACAACGGGTGACAGCGACAATAAGAATGACCTGGCCAGTGTGGAAGAGAGATAGAGAATTATGGAGAGATGGATTGAAGGTGAATAAGAAAGGGGGTTGTCAATTAGCGAGATTAATTCGTTAATCATCATCCCTCGTTCGTTAACCAACAATGACCATCATCGGCATAAAAATTCACGAAACGTTCACTCCAACATCGTCGTAATACCCATTTCACGACAATTTCTATTGTTTAGTTAATTCCAATGGGTCTGACAGGTTAGAATCAAAGAAGTGGTAGGCTTTTTTTTCCCCCTTTTTTTTTTATTATTATTTACCTGGATGATGAATATTACAATTGGATCGCTGGCATTGTAATGGCTGGGATTCATCCCAGTGATGACACCGCCCTGTTCTTGCACCATGATTGGAAGCTTTTAGGTTGGATATTAGATGAGTGTGGTTTTTTGGTTTATATTATTTTGGTTCCTTCGGACTGGGGGAAAAAGTAGATTATTGCAAATGTTAGCTTTTTTTTTTTTTTTTGCAAGTAGTCTATTCAAGACTTGATATCGCAAGATACAACTTACATCGAGGGGTTTCTTAAAGTATTAAGGAAATTATTGTATTAATGATGCTTAAGGTTATTGGAGAATATCATCAATGTTAGAGAAGAAAGAGGGGAAGTCCGAGATCAAAAGGTTGTATTATTGCTATACAACAATCATAAGAAGAAACCTCGGAGGTAAAGTCGCATGATCTAATTTTCATCGCCTTAAATATCGGAAACGGAAGCAATAAAATGTGAAACCACCGTGTACAGTTAAAGGGGGGGGGTTCGGATTATAAATTTTACGTAAGTCGATCCAGTTAATCGATTGTTCCCTGATTTATTGTACTCGAAAAATAATAGCGCATTATCACGGGACACAAGAATGCACGTGCAACAATCCCCAGCCCACTATACAATACCATTTTTTGTTGCAATTTTTCCTGGGTACTCCCGTTTGCACAATTGTTTGATTGTGTATCACAAGAATCACTTGTACTCATTTGATTGGGGAATGTCACAAAAAAAAAAAAAAAAAAAAGGCTGCACGCTCTTTGTCTGCTTTAATGGATGATTGTAATTGTAACATTAGCGCAGGAAGGAGTATGGAAGCACATGATAGTATGAAAGGGCGGAAGAGAACGAATTGTTAATTATCGTCATCATCATCCTTATTATTTACTTTCTTGACACAGCACATGCAATACCGGAAATTTAAGTAGATATACCGTGTGTAACAGTTACCCTGGTTCATGGGAAATCATTTCTGGTTGGGATGAGAAGCAAATCTAGGTCGTATCAAAGACTACGCGCCCTCTTTCTGCAGTACACAGGACAAACAAAAAAAAAGAGATAGTAAAGCTTATCTATTTCTATCTTTTTTCTCCCCACCATGCAAAATGAGGACTCGTTTCTCCGTGTGATTGGCGCCGTGCCATTCTAGACAGGATAATTAACTGGATTGGGCGTACACCCTACTATTATGTACCAATGATTTCTGGATGCTAAGGCATGGGTGTGTCCCCAGCGAACGGAAGATCACAATGGCCAAACCGGTCTGTCAAGTTGTCGAAATTAAGGGTAACGATAATTGACCAATGCTCTTCAATCAATGACGTCGTAGCGCATCTTACAATAATGTTTGTGTTAATTGAACACTTTTCAGGAGAACTGGCTTGTGATCAGATATTAATTATTTCTCATTCCCAACGATGATTAACTGGAATGTCAGAGTAAAACCGCTGTCGTACATGATACAGACTGGCAATAACAACAAAAACGGTAACTCCGACAACAAGCCCACATTATTAAACTCCGTACGTAAATCCCCATGATATGAACATATTAGTCCTAGTAGTTCCGAAGAAAAGGACAGGTCCGTGAACAATATTAACAATGAGATCTGGTCATAATTTTCCTTTTGTGCTTCTTGTTTTTGTAACGCTAAACACAAGTAAAATTATCGTGTATCAAATAAAGCATCAAGTGAGCATCGCGTAATATCAATCCATAACTAGCATGCTCGAAAGAGTAGAGTCTGGTTGAACCAATTCAGGGCTGTTTGCAGCTATTTGGTGGCTGGGCTACCTGAACGCTATAGATCAGATTGATTCGAAATCGTTGTGGATGGATTGGCCAGAGATGCAGCGTGCAACAACAAAAAAAAAGGTGTCATCGCTTTGAATCAAGTTTGAATTGAAATGTTTCCCATCCGTGTAACAAACGAACAACCAGACAATTGAGAAAGTTCTAATATCGAAACGATTCCAATCAAGCTGACATTCTTTATTGGCTCTTCTCTGCCAGTTTTGCGAATTACGCCATCCAATTGTCACATCATTGGATTGTTATCCATAGCAATCATCTTCGGATGATACGACGGTATAAATATTGTTACACGTGCCTGTGTCACACACCCCATTGTCAACGGAATTAATTGCGCTTCTCTAATCCCCCAACCCCTCTCGATGAAACCACAATTGCCAAGCCTTTACCTTTTCAATGCTCAATGTACAAACCAAAAAGAAACAATATCGATAACGCACATGGTTTTTTAATGATGAAATACTGTCATTGCTCGTCCAATGCGCTCACGGAAGAGGCGAATGTGCAATCAAGTCGTGTCATGAAACAATCCTTTGCACATCCATCCAAATCTGTTGATCATTATAGCATATTGTTTATTACTGTTCCTGCATACAGAAAGGCCCCGTTCCAAATCAATTCGTCAATCGCAGGCGTTTATTTTTGGCAAATATTTTGACTGGTGAAACATTATCAAAACGATGGAACGTTTGTATGGATTAATGTCTGCACAAATTCTTTTGTCATGCAGTCGCAAGTGTGCGTATTACAATGCCACATTCATATCTTCTATGGTGTAAGCGCGGGGCCTTTCCTCTTTGGACAATAATCACGTTATCGATCTTGTGCAATACGGTTTAATAGTTCAACAAAATAATTCTCGACTCTCCCCCCCCCCCACCCCACGCACCCCACCCCCGTCCCGATATCCTTAGATAGAATTCTTGCTTATAAGTATACCATAGCTACCAGCAATAAACAGCAACATATGCGCGATGACGCTTTAACAGGCTATTTTTATGGCTAGCAAACGTGCAAAAATCAAAATACGTGTGATTGACCATATCGAAATTTACTACTGTGTAAAGGGAAACAGAAATTTAGGACTTTAGTACTTTCGTAGCGCGCTCGTAGTGCTCAGTGTAAGCTAGCCACTTTTAATAGCATGTCTTATGTTTCAATGTTGAAATAAAACCGGAAACATTAAATCAGTTACCTTTGATGTAGTGTTCAATAATGTATTAATGATTTGTACTAGACGGTATTGTCCTAATTCTCTGAAGAGCAAGTAATTTTACCGGAAACATGAATACACGCGAAAAGCACTGTTTATTATGCTAAGCAACAAATTACCTACTCACTACACCGAGTAATCTCAGAGACTCAACGCGAACGAGCTTAATAAAGCTCAAGATAGAGTCCACGAGGATCGCTTCACAATCAAAGGCCAACACAATATTACATTCGCTATCCAACGCTGTATTGCGTTATGTCTACTCAGATACAATAACTTGGACATTGTTTACACGCTATTTTAAAAGAGTAATACATAGAGTTGATGGGTAAGTGCAAAGTAGATTGGCCAGTATTCAGTATGTTACAGTGCTCGCCATAAATAACGGGAATTGGTTTTTAACCACAAATTTTGTGAGCTTTATTATGGCTTTGCAAATACGTAGATATGATGTTTATACACGAAAATGGTTTGTTTTTTCCCCATCATTTTCAGTAACTTCATTCAGACATCCTGACATCCCTAAATTAAGACCCAGATCTGTGAAGACCCTCTCCCGTTCTTGTCAACGTTCAACATTAATCGTGTTTTTCCCCTAATTATTTATTAACTCGTTTCTCAACACTCTTTTCATAATGGCCTACAGGTTCTCAGGTAGGGGCTATAGGAGGGCCAGTCAAGGAATCTTTGGAATTTGACGACGAAGAAGCTCAGATCTTTTTTAGCTTTATGCTTTGAGTCTGTTGAAAAACTCAAGGTTTTGGCATGATCCTAGGTGCATTTTCAAAAAGATGGTTAGTTAAAATCTCGCGGTAAAGTAATGTATGGTTTGTATAACATTTGATTCTCATTATTTATGGCGAGCACTGTACTGCCATAACTTTGTATAGACTTTGAAATCAGAACAAATACTAAACATTATATACTGTATTATTAGCTAACGTTAATGGATAGCCTTGCAATGAATGTATTAACTATATATTTACTACATCAGAAATACAGTCAAATACGATTCGGGATAACGAGATACCGAAGTTAGGCGTAAGGTCAAGTACTATTTATTACTTCAAATGAATCTATTCGACTTTTGTTCTTGCTTTGCAATACTATGCGATTCCACCATTCTCTTCAGTGCACGAGCTTATCGTAATGCATTTCATGTCATCCTGTTGAAAGTGCGACTACCATCGTTTTTAGCCGGAGGAGCTTTCGAACTAGCTTTATCATCACCATTCTCTTCTTCTGCAGGAAATAAGAAAGAAAAAATTTCATCGTCTGCTACTATTTTCTTATGTCTTTGTTATAGTTAATGGAGAATTATATGACCGAACTTTGGTATAAAGCCTATGTAAAATCCTGGTATCGAACTTCGGAAGGTGTAATGCAACTTACTATTAATTTCGTTACAACGAGGGAAATTACTAGTTAAAAAACCGGAGGAACAATAATTGCCTTGGTAAAACGAAAATTCGGTATAACGAGATTCAGTACAACGAGGTTTTGACTGCATTTTAAAAAACAGTAGGCTTCTTCAAAGTGTATTATACCATTATCAATTGATCAAGAATAAGTCTATGGATTTGAAGTAATTTTAGATTTAAACGCTTTGTTTAAATAAATAGTAATAGTAATTAACACTACTTTTTGAATTATTTTATTCTCAAAAAAAATCCTATCTGTTGGAAGTTAACTTGAAAATTTTCAACTGTTTTTGATTATTTCCTGCTGGCGATTTGTTGTGTGATTTAATAACAAGTCTATAAATGCGCAATAGTGAGTACTGTACATAAAGAGGCTTATTGATTCATGTGATATTAGTACACTCGTTGGTTTTTATTATTGCTGATTTGTCACATGGTAAACCCTCGAATGTCAGGTGATTTCACATGTGATACAAAGTCAGATACGCGGAGTCTGCAAAGGTTTCACCGTCTGCCCTTACATTCTAAATAATATCTTATGAATATATTATAGTAATTTAGAACTATGCGTTATTATTATTGATAGAATAATAGCTCTTAGTACAATGACAAATTATTATTAGTAAGAGTCTCAAT